ATTGGAGTATAGAAATAATCAGGGTATGAGAGATGACTGTGGTAGCAAAGAGAGATAGGCAAAGCCATGAAAGAGAATAGCAGTGAATAACAGGCATAAAGGGATGTTGTTTTTTTAAAACATGGAAGGTGCGGTAACTTTAAAAGAGAAAATATTGTATTAATATTAATTCAAATCTGAGAAATTTTAAAATGAAGTCAACTTATTTTTGCCCTCATGAATTATATTCAAGGATTAGTGCACTAAATATCTGGGCAAAATTATCTTCAGTTACACTGTGATTAGTATCTATAAGCAGGTCAGGTGTAGCAGGGATTACAATGAGGCTGACTGGATAGATGTTTTCTCTAGAAGGATGTTTCTTGTTCAAGGTGGCTATGTGCAAACCAAAGAATGCATGTGATAAATGAGAATTAATCAAAGATGAACATTTCCTTACTGTACCCTGTTCATAGAACTAGTGTAGCCTGCAATGTCGAAGAGAATAACCCAGAAGGACTATCTCTTCTACACAGGCTGCAGTGGTCAGTAGCATTCATCAATTAGCTTGCATTGTCTCTAGTGATAAAAAGGGAATAATCAGCATGTTATTCATACCTATGAGGTTGTTCTTTCTGCAGCATGACTGCAAGTGTCATCCAGAAGGAACAGCTTTTGCTGAGTCCTGCAAAGCAGGAATTAAAATAATGCCTTGAAACTGAAGGGTTTTAAAGCAAATCAACTTATTACTTTTCTGCTGTTTCCTAGCTTCTAGTTTTGGCTTTATATTTCCCCAAGTGAAAAGTTATTTAAGGTATTTTGCCAAAAGCTCAGTGAGTCATGACCTCAGAGCCAATTTATTTTTAACATGACTAAAAATTTTCTATTTCCATAATATTATATGTGGTCATAATGATTCATTTTATAAATTACAGCTGCCACTGATGTTTGCATAACTATTCTTTAAAGTATATAAATTGAATTTAAGAATTACTTGGTGAGTTTTCTTTCTAAATCAGTTATCTAGGAATGTGAACTATATCTCTGATTTTTTTTTTGTTGTTTCTACAGGAAGTTTTATATTATTGATTAATAATACTAACAAATAGTAATCTCCATAGTAGAGTATTACTGTTTTCTCCTGGTATTTGTGATCAATTTCATTATTTCTCATGAGTATATACATGATAGAGTTTTCAATGAATTAGTTTAAAAAATTCTCCCACCTAATTGTTTTTTTTCCTTCCTCCTAGTCTGCTCCCAGTTTTCAAGAGGAGTCTTTGCTATTTTTGGATTCTATGACAAGAAGTCTGTAAATACCATAACATCGTTCTGTGGGACTCTTCATGTCTCCTTCATAACTCCTAGCTTCCCAACAGATGGAACACATCCCTTTGTCATTCAGATGAGACCTGACCTCAAGGGAGCTCTTCTAAGCTTGATCGAATACTATCAGTGGACCAAGTTTGCGTATTTGTATGACAGTGACAGAGGTAAGATGTGGTACTTCTTAAATGTGTGCTGTTTTCTAGATGTATCCGACTGAAATGCTGAATTAGGATTAGAAAAGTAAATGAGAAAAGGAATATTCACCTGCAGCAAGTTTAAGTGTAAGCTTAAATTTTGAAATGAGCTTTTGGGACAGAAACAAAATTGTTTATATGAGAATAAAAATATTACAGTATGTATTAACAGAATTGTGAGCGTGTGCTGATAAACTGAGATTAATCACATGTAAAACTGTTCCTATGAAAAGCTTTTTGTTTGTGGTTTTTTTTTTTTTTTTTAAGAATCATCTAAGGAGAAAAAAACTCTTTTGAGCATGAAGGGCAATCTGCTACCACAGATTCATTCCACACATGCAAAATCAATAGTTGGGCACTAAGCAAGCAAGAATCTTGGATGCAGTCCCTGCTTCTTTGGAGACTACTTCTGATAAATACTCGAGTTCCTCTCCTCTGTTGGATTTAGAAGTTTTTGTTGTTGTTGATGATAAACCCGAATCCACCGCTTCTGAGCAGTTTACTCCACAGTACAGACTTCTCAAGTCCTATACCCTTTTATGGCTCTAGTAATAATAATGGGACAGTTGATGAACTGATAAAAATGCGTGCAAATTGTGGTATGTTTAGTTTTCTGAGAAGAACGAGCATTATACAGAAGTGGGGTTTTTCTGACTGCCCTTTCTGGAATGCCATTATTGTCATTCTGTTTTCAGGTTCTCCTTACCTAGTAGTCCTTGGCAACTTTTCCTATTCTTATGTTATCCTGTTCCCTTTATAAGGGAACATGCTCGCCTGCATGTTCATTGGTCAGAGCTGAATATTACGTGCACATTAAATGGTAAGATGCCACTAGGTTCAAAGAGTGGTTATACCATGCCATGGTTTGTTGAGTAATGGGGTGACATTAGATTCTCTTCGTTATGATGCCATTTTATACAGTATGTTGTTCAGAAGCTGGAGGGACCTCCTCAAGTTCTTTATCACTGTTGTAAACACTAAAGTTAGAAAAACTAATACTGCTATGTCGCCTCCAACAGCAATTTCACGTGGGATAATGAACCCTAGGCCCATTTCTCTGTCAGATCCTTTTCAAATTCACATTAGAATCAGAAACAGTCACTGCCTTTTTAGAAAGGACGGATGTAAAACTACTTGCTTAGCCGATACTCTGTCAATCAGCTAGCAGTGTGCAGAACATGACCTGCGTGTGATTTATATATAGGCAATGCTGAAAAACACCGAGGTCGTCTTCTGAGCTGCAGTGGCTGAATCTGGCTAGGAATAACAGCATGAAATTGTTATTTGTAGTCACTCTTTGGTTATGCCTTTTTTTTTTCTTGTTTTAATTGTGACAAGGCACCCCAGTGTTAACAAGCTCTGAGGCATGAAACTCCTACCTTTATGTTGGGTAAATTGTTGCTCCTCAGTGCTCCCACTGATCGCACAAGGTTACCCTGCAGAGTCAAGCAGTACGTAGTCAGCAACACTTGACATCAAACCCTGAATACCCAGGGTCCACAGTTCTTCTGAACACTTTCATGAATGTTAACATCGTGACAGTGACGTATATTTAAGGAATTATATATAATTTAAAATGTTTCCACTTTCAGGAGTGAGATAAAAAACTCACTGAGTTAAGCTCTGAATTAAGAGTTTGTCTCATGATAACCAAAAGAGGTTCAGGCACATGAGGTTCACAAATGGAAGTATTCCTGCAGTATAAAAACAGCAATTAAAGTCGCTGGAGTTTTCTCCTCTGTGGAGTCCCACTTCCACTGCCACTCTCCAGATACTTCCATGTCCACAGAAATATTGCTGTGAATGCTTGTTTGTTTGTTTTTTGGGTTTTTTGCGATGTATTATTGCTATCAGAATAAACTAAACTGTATGGGCATGACAAATCTGCCACCTATAAAAAGGGAGAAATCCAGGCAGCCATTTGACATCTCTGCAGAGAGCACCCTGAGAAAAGCACCTAGGGAGTCACTAGGAAAAATGGAGTATCAGAGGAATAAAATATAGAAACCCTTTGAAATATAGTATTAACATCAATAGCCCTTTTTAATTTATGCCTGACTGAGATTCTGTTTAACTCAGAAGAAACATTTGGGCAGATTGAAGGACCTGAAATCTACTAAATGAGATCAGAAACAATGATTCAGATTATATCCATGTCCATTTGCGGTTTAGTTTTGTGTTGTTAAAAATTATTTTAAATTGCTGTTTAAAACATTATTTTGAGGTATAGACTCATTTTAGTGCCTTTTAATGTTTTAAGATATTCCCTATATCTTTTAGTTTGCTTACATTAATTATCTTTTCCTTTTTAGCATGAGTTCTCCACAGTTATCTTTAATGTGTTATAGTTTGTGTGTACCCTTGGACTGTAGTTATCTATTATTTTCAAATAAATATTCATTGCATGACATATGTAACTTCAAATCGGTCTTCTTTAAAGACAATGTAGAAAATCAGAACTGTTTGAGATAATTGAATTTATGCTTGTGGAAGCCTGGCATTTTCTACCTTTGCTGATAACCAGTCTTGTATAGTGCTGTATGTCATTACCATTTGCACTGATAAAGCTGAATTGCTGAACACTGACCGACCTTAATGTAACAATGTATTTACAGACTATGAGGCACATCCATTCTTAGTGCTTTCTTTCTATAACCACTGTTATTTCTCAGGAGTGTTATAACTGAAGATTCCTACACATACCAAGTCAGAAATTTGTCTCAAAGAAATTACTTCCGGTGTTCTCTGGTTTCAGGGGAGATTAGTGTTCAAAAATGTCAATTGGCTTGTGAGAAACTCTAATTTTTTTTCTATAGTACTACCTCCTGTCCTTAAAATTGCCCTCTAGAATTATGTAGAATTCTCTGGAAGGAATTTAAGCATAGCAAGTCTAATTCCCATACCGCTGGAAATTGTTAAAATAGTATTTGTTGTACAGTGGAAATTAATTTCCAGCATTAATTTTCATGTTTCTACACTCCATTATTTAATCCTTGAAAAGGAAAACCAGCCAAGTAAAATCTTCACTGATTTTACAATATATTGTAGGCAGTTGCAGCTGTGCAGACATTACAGCTTCCTGTCAGGAATGTATGAAAAGGATAAGATGAAACCAAACCTATGTAGACTGCTTGTAGGTGTTAGCATTGAGCCTACTTGTCTGTATGGAAAAATATGTCTTGACACATCTTTCATAATCAGGGATATGACTGTAGCCAATAGAAATAATAACTCCATTAGCACCACAGCAGAACATGGCAATTTTGTCATAGACCTCAGTGAGGTTGGGGTTTAAATACAGTATTGCTCAAGTGCTGAGAGTAAAAGCAGTTCAATAGCATCTTGTAATAAACAGCTGATCCTCGTGCCATAACTGGATCCCTTTTCTCCTAGAAGACCTCTTTCCCAGTATGTGGAATTCCAGCAGTGGATCAGGGAAACTGGCAAAATCCCATTCTGAAGAAGGTTGAAGCAAAACCAAAAGGTTGTCCTTACAAGGCTCTACCCTGATTCCTTGCAGCGATGTAAATAGAAATTTCATGCAATAAGAACTGATTGGGCCTGCACGTATCTTAATTTTTAGTCCTAACAATGTGTGAGAGGTCAAACAAGTTACAGGGAAATCTTAAATAAGTAATCTCATAAATCATATTCTAGGAGCTTGATATTCCTGAAGCTTTATCAGTCATATCTTCTGTTTTCTCCTGTGCTTCACTAGGCTTATCAACATTGCAAGCTGTGCTGGATTCCGCTGCTGAAAAGAAATGGCAAGTGACTGCTATCAATGTAGGAAATATTAACAATGACAGAAAAGATGAAACTTATCGTTCACTATTTCAAGATCTAGAAGTAAAAAAGGAAAGGCGAGTGATTTTGGACTGTGAACGCGATAAAGTCAACGACATTGTTGATCAGGTTTGCTCTTCTCTGTTTTTCAGTGACAGCAGTTAGCTATATTCTATAAGTAAACGTAATGAGTTCATTTCTCTTGATCCTATTTTTATGATTATTATGCATTATTTGGAAGTGACAGGTTTGTATTGAGGACCACATATATGTCAGGCAGAAAGTGAACATACTAATCCTATAATCCCTCCCTTTGGTCAAAGGCAAGATAATTCTATCTGGATGATCCTATATGGTTTTGTATCCTGATTATTTAAAATGAACAAACACAAAAAGTTCATTAAGGCTATTTCACAACCTAAGTAGTGTACTGTATTATATGTAGTTGATACACTAATATATGGTGCACTATAAATAGTCATATTATCTCTAAGGCTTAGATCTTCTTACACCTATAAAGTATTTTCTACTTACAATGCTTTTTCCAAGAACCTTTTATCTCTTTGGAAGGCTATATCAACAGCTTCTCTTTTCCATTTAACTCCCTTCATAGTTGATGTTTCTAAGCTCTTTGTCATTGGTACTGTCCTTGTGTCTCTCTTCATTTTGTCTTCCTCTTGAAGTGTGTTGACTAAAGTTGGATGCTGTTCTCCATAGCCAAGGCCTCGTGAGCTTTAAACAGAACAGAAGGTTATGTCTTCTCTCCACTCATGCATATATTATTTGCCAAAATAATTTTTTAAAAAAACTTTATTTTTTTACAACATCGCAATGCTCCGATTCAAATTATTGCGTTACCTTCAAATCCACTACTTCAATTCTATTGTCTAGGAAGGTCTTACTGTCTCTCTATGTTACTTTTTCTTTTCATGCATGCAGAGCACAATGGAAAATTATGAGGATAGCTCCCTGCTGGCTTGAGCTTGCCATGTGAGTCTGTGCAGCATCTGTAGGGATATATCGTCAGAGTGTAGATGTATTGGTTTGAAGCTTTTTTTGGAGGGCTTGTTGTTTTGGTCTCTGTTGTGAAGGTTATTACATTTTGGAGAAGCTCAGACAATGAGTAGTGTCCTAAATGGAGTGCATTGTATTTGTCTCTTTTATTGGGAATTTATATCCACAAACTGTTTTTCTAACTTTCAATATGTATTTGAATTTGATCCTGTTCTCAGAGCATTTGCAACCTCCCTGTCATCTGCAGTTTCTTAAAATCATATTTTATGACTTGTTATCCGTGTCAAGAAATGTACTGAGTGGAGCAATGCTTGAGAGATACAGTACTTGCAGGTCCTCTTCAGCTGGTTCTGTGTGGCTTTTCAAACAGTTGTTCGCTTACTTTACAGGGAACTTTTATCTTGTCCATGTTCCCTTAAGAGCTTGGAATGATGTCATACAGGACAAAAGCCTTATTAAACTCAAGATATGTCACATCTGCTGTTTCCTTATTATCTGGTAGGCTAGCTATTATATCAGAGAAAGGAAAGAAATTGCCTTGACATACTTTGATCTTGACAAGACTATATTGACTGTTTATCTTCTTATTATCCTATAGATTATTTTAAAATAAGTATGTGATATTCATTATAATCTCTTCCCTGATATTTAAAGTTTGGCTGACTGTAAGGTTCTTCAGTTTCTCCTTTTACCAATTTTAAAGACAAGAGCCCTCTTTAACCTTTAGTTACCACTCATTTTTACTGTCTTTGTTTAGCAATAGACCTAATATTTTCTTTGGCTGCTGCTTATTTTGATTGCAGCTCTGGGATATTTTTCTTGCCCTAATTGTACTTTGATAGATTCTGCCTTGTTTTGAGTCTTAGGTTTTCTCAGCTTATCCCCACAGATTTTTGCTACTCCTTAAGCAAACAGATGGATTTGTTTCTGTTGTTTTGATTTATGAGTCCCTAAAGCATTCTAGATAACTGTGGATCAGTCACACAGGTCAGTTAATACAATTCCAGTTATTCTCCTCAAAATAGTTTATTGTTACTAGAACATGGTCGCTGTCGGCTGTCTCATATGAGTTTAGTCTTGAGATTCTCTTTGCAAGTCTGTAGCTAACCTTCCTTACATGGAAAGGTAAACCCACTTTCTATTTCTCAAGTAGCCTAAAGTAAAATCTAGAATAACTGTTTCTCTAATTGTTTCCGTCTCTTGAAATGAAGGTCTGTGCTGATCGATGGATTTCTTGGCCTGTGAGCATGTTGTTCTGATTTTCTATTCATGTGTATATGACTATACATAACAGAATATGTATTTCAAGTCTTGCTTTGATACCAGATTTATTCTTTTAAAAATTCTTTTAATTTCTGCCCTGAAAAGATCCTCAGCCATTTGCTTCTTTTCTTGAGGGTGCCTGAAGTGGACCCTTTGTGTCAGTATCCCTTTTCTTTTTCTGTGCATTTTTGTTGAGAGACATGCAACAGGCTTTCTGTTGACCAGATTTTTCTCGAGTACTGAAGTATTACTTGCATTATTGATACATAGAGCAGACACTTCTTTCTTCCTTGCTTTCTATTTTTGAACAAACCTTATATTGTAGTCCTTTGATTTATCCCTCTGGTATTTTAAGCTGTGGTGGCAACCTCAGGTTCACGCAGTTACTCTCTGTAGTCCTTGGCTCTTTGTATAGACACACAATGTATTTGCACAGTTGCTTCATCACTCTTGTTTTTTGTCTCGTGTTATAGTTTCTCCTTCAGATTTCAACAATTTATGTAAGTTGAAGCTGAAAAATATTTTAGTTCCCCAGCTCTCCTCAGACTAGTTCATATTCCTCTTCTCTGCTTTGGCAGGTCAGTGTTAGCATGCTCTTCATTATATAGTCTCTATCTCGTCTCAGCCAGTTTCCTTTGCAGAATCTCATTTCCCTCTGATAACACCCTCTGGGCAGCCATGCTGACGCTTCTTGTCTATCCCTGCTTGACATGCTGGTCTAAGTTAGGGACACTGGTGAATACCTTTTGTGTCCTTCATCATGGCTTTTGGAGCTACCACTGGATCTTCTCTGAGTTTTAACTGGCAGCATTCTCTGTGGTCATATGGAGTAGTGGCACAGCGCAATGTTTTAGAAAGTTAGATTAATGAAACCCAGTGGCAGTTAAAGCAGAGTTACTAACCATTGATCCAAAGATTTGCAGCTACTGGTTGTTTTCTCAGATATCAGTGATGAAGAAGCATTTTAGGCAGAAGAACTAGTCTGTATGGTCTAACTGAAATTTCTTTGGAAGCAGCAGCTGCAGAAGAAACACATAGAATGGTTTGGGTTGGAAGCAACCTTAAAGATCATTGAGTTCCAACATGGCAGGGACACCCTCCACTAGCCCAGGTTGCTCAAAGCCCCATCTAACCTGGCCTTGAACACCTCCAGGGATGGGGCATCCACAGCTTCTCTGGGCAACCTGGGCCAGTGTCTCACCATCCTCACAGTAAAATATTTCATCTTAATATCTAATCTAAATCATCTGAACATGGTTCTTAAACCTGTTAATAAATAATGAGTTTTAAGTTGTTGGAGCCAATAACTGTTTTAGAATAATTAAGTTCGTATATCATGTATATATTGAGCTCAAAAGAGGAATAATCAAATAACTTCTGTGACCTGTGTGATCCCTCTCTGTCTCCAACTCCAGTAGTATAAAACTTAGTGTTAAACACTGCCTTCAGTTATATTCCTGTAACTTCATTAAGCCACATATGTGGAGTGTTGTTCACTACTATCCTGATACTAATTACAGGATTCCTACTCTGAAATTTTTAGTTATATGTTAAATTAGGAAATAAACGAGTCATCCTCTCTTGATTTAAGTTGTTCCGCTTGTTCAAAAGATGGAAGAAACCTTTGGAGTCCTCTTATCTCCCACATCCTTTCTCTGGAGAAGTGTTTTTCTTCAAAATGCAAGCTTCTCCATGCAGGCATAGTCTTAATTAGGATTATTTGGGAGAAGAATCCATGCTACGTGCCTGCCAGTGGAGACTGTTGAGATACCACCAGCTGGTTTTGAGAGAGATTATGAGGAAGCCTTAGGGCAATAAACAGCAATTTGAACTTTAAAAGTCTTCCACATAATGGAGATGTTTTCGTTAATGTCAGTGGGCTTTTAAACTTTTTCTAGTTCAAGGAATTTTATAGTTCTGCTACAAAGGGAGCGGAATCTAAGCAGGAATCTCTGAGGCACAGTGCTTCTACTGCATGATGCTAGCTCTCTCCTGTTCAGGTTGTGCCTTTAATACACACTAGAGTAATTAGCATTCAGCTCATCTGTTTACAGATCTTGGGACTTGGACTTCAACATGACTCATTTCCTCCAGCAGAGGGTATGTTCGATGGTGCATTAGGTAGAATAAAAAGTAAAGCACTGAGCAAACTCAGTATTGTATAAAATGAAGCTCATAACTAGCTTTTACATCATACTGCATTTTGTAGTGTTGAACATTCTCCGTTACGGGGATATTTCTTCTTTTTTACAGGTGATTACAATTGGTAAACATGTTAAAGGATACCATTATATCATTGCAAATCTGGTAAGAGTTTTTAATATTTTAAATACCTGTACTGCTCACTTTACTGTTTCTGGAAGCACATCAACTAGTATTTTGGTTAAGTGCATTTTGGAAAATAGAAAAAAAGTCTTTATCCTTGCTAAATGAATGCATGTGTTGAGATGGTATTTGTTTTATTGGCTGAGTCTTTTCAGGGCTTAAATGTCTCCTGTGATATTCTCATCAACGGGAGTGAAGGTTGCTCAGCGCCTTCAGTGGAGCTTCATCCCTTTTTCTACATGTTTTAGAAAAGTGGGGTGTGGAAATCAGAAAAATAGCTTTCCAGATTATAGGCTGATGTATTCATTCAGCAAACTAGTATTTCTTCTGTCACCTCCAAAGTACTTAAGAACTCCATGTCTCAGCTTTCATTCAGCTAGACGAGTGAGTCTTAGCTTTACACATCTTTCCTCATATTGGCTTGGTAATCAGTTTGAATTAGTATTTTCTTGAACATGAGTGATCAGACAGTATAGCTAACAGTGTTCCTAAGGGGGCAAGTTTAGCAAACTCACTAAATTCTGTCAAGGTCATTGTTTTGCAGTTGTATCTGAAGATGGAGGGCCATTTTGCTGATAATAAAGTCAACAACACTTACTTAACTGACGCTAGGGAATCTAATCCAATGGGGTTTTTTTGTAACAGATAAAGCAAATTCTGCAGGCTTGAATCTTAGTGATTCTGTTCCAGAAGAGAGTTTTGGGGTTTGCATGGTATGAGTGCCTCTAAATATTTTTTTTCATTGTTTGTTCTTGAACTTTTATAGTTTGGTGTAAATTCCAGAAGGGCCCAGAGGGCTCTAATTTACACCCTGTCTTCCATAGTCGCTTGAGGGGCCTGAAGAAACAGAATGAGCATAGGTGTCTGTCACACTTGAGACATCGTAACTCCCGTCTCCTTTCAACCTTTGATCAAAACACTTCCCCCCCTTCGGGCAGGGAGTATTCTGAAAAATCACATATGTCTCTAGACAGATGTGAGAAAGTCTTTAAAAGCCTCTTTAAAAGCAGAACAGTGAGGCTTCAATTTGATGTTTATTTAACTCATTTTTAGGATAAAGAAGTTAAGGTACTGATATTCACAAAGCAAGCATAAAAGTCCTAGAAAACTTGCAGCGTTCCCTAACTGTTAGATATTTGTATTTAGCATTGCAAATGTTGAATAAATAGTATTTTGAGTCTTAAAGGAAATAAACATTTTGGAAAAATTGCCTAGTGTATTTCATTATATTGACAATATTTTAGCCATTGCTTTACGTTTGTAACAGTAAGCCTATAAGTTCTAGAACTTATTGAATCTTGTATTTTAAAGCTGTTTAATAGCATTTTTGCTTCCTACAGATTTATACAGTTCAAATGCAAATGTTGCGCATCTTTTGTATAATATAAAAAAATTGTATGGAAATGATTTTAAAACTGTTTTTTGCTGTCAGAAAGAACAGTTAACTAGTACTTACCATATCCCATCTCCTTCACTGAATCCACCTTCTTTCTTCTTTTCTTGACTGTAATAACATTTTCTTCCAGTCTGATCATTCAATAAATAGGTCTGTTTTAAGAATGAAACATGATGATAGATCGAGAAGGGCTTAAAGTATACAGTGAATTTTCCTGTTCAAACTTCCAGCTTGCAATATTATTGAAGGAAGTTTCGTAATCTGTGTAGAAGTGTCTGGATTAACATGCAGTAACACACCGTTGATGAGTATAATTAGTATGCAATAATTAAAGAGTACCTAGTACAGCAATTGTAGCAAACTCGATAATGTGGTCTGAGGTTCCTGCTTCTTTTTTTGTTTGCTCAGAGCATTTATTTAAACTGAAGTGCTTGAAATCAGTGTTTCATGTAAATTCATTCATATGGTTATTCGGGGCAAGTTAAAACACAGGACATGGAAAACAAAACATATGTACTCTTTGTAAGAATGAGAAGTAGTTCTTTATGTCGGAGGGAGGAGGCAAGGCAGATGGTAAGTCCTTCCACATGCTTTAGTGTTCCTAGCAAAAAGAGGACTCAACTGTGGCTGTGACTGTTCCTGACTAAAACTTGTTGCCTGTTATTCGTGTCAGTGTTCCCTTTCTCATTTAAGCAGTCCCGTTGAAATTAACAGGATTGTGTAGGAAAGTAAGCATGGCCTGGACAGGTCCACTCAGCCCTTGCTCTGTAAAGGTGTATGTCTAGTGAGCAACAAGAGGCATTGCTGGCTGGCGGAGCTGACGACTTAATCCTGGCAGCCCAGGATTTAAACTTGGATCCTGTCTGAGGAATATGTTGGCTTACACTGCTGCAGTAGAAGTCATATGGTAACTCTTTATTTGTATTATGCTATTGAGACATCTGCTAAAACTGTTGGAATAACAGACATAATGTTTGCTGTGCCCAGGGATTTACTGATGGAGATTTGTCAAAAATTCAGTTTGGAGGAGCTAATGTCTCAGGATTTCAGATAGTTGACTATGATGATCCTCTGGTATCAAAATTTATACAACGTTGGTCAACGCTGGAGGAAAAAGAATATCCCGGTGCACACACTAGTACAATTAAGGTATGTCTTGTGTTTGTTTTAACCATGACAGATATAGAGGAAGTGAGGGAATTGTAATAGAAAGACGAGATGGAGAAAGACCTTCAAAATCAGCTGTGCCAACACAGTTTTATATTCTCCGGGGTTCTTTTAACATTATCATAGGACAGGTTGAGCAAAGATACTGCACTGTCCAAAATGTTCAAGACAACTTTAATTTTTCTTGTGTCTCTTTAAATCTGCACCTGACATTTTATTAGTTTTAATTGTTTTGGATGTGATGATACATTAAGTACCTACTGATTTTTTTTTTAATGTTTTTTCTCTTTCTCTGTGTTTTGGAATGTTTTAAAGGCTAATATGTAGTCATATGTAAGCTTCCAGGGGGTACAGATGTAGCACTTTTTGATACAGCATAATCTCCCAGAGAAATTGTAAGACAGTTCCTTTGAGAGAGATGCCTAAATCCTACAAAAAACTAAATTATTACTTTTAAAATTAAATGATATGCCTGAGGTACACAATCATGGTCTGATTTCAGGCCTGAGGGACACAAGATGTGACACTGGGCAAGTGTTTAAATTTCCCTACCTCAGTTTTCCCTCTGGATAAAACTGGTACCTTACGGACCGTTACGAGGATCAGTTAGTGTTTGCAAGATGTTAAGAAGAATAACACAATTTTAATGCTAAATAATTTTTCTTTTAAGTAATACAATCACAAATTTTGTCAAGAATAAGGATACTTAAGTAACTCTAAAATGCATTAAGACAAAAAGATAAATGGCAAGTGTTCTAGACAGAACTTTTTTTTGTGCTATAATTTGAATATGAAGTGTGTTCTTGATTAATGAGATGGATAAGAAGTTTCAGCAAGGAATGGAAGAACCATTTTTCAAATTCCTGGAAATAAAAAAATCCAGGCTCTTCTCTGTGACATCTAGTGATAGGACAAGGGGCAATGGGTTCAAGCTGGAACATAGGAGGTTCCGCTTGAGTATGAGGAAAAACTTCTTTACAGTGAGGGTGACAGAGCACTGGAACAGGCTGCCCAGAGAGGTTGTGGAGTCTCCTTCTCTGGAGACATTCAAAGCCCGCCTGGATGCGTTCTTGTGTGATCTGATCTAGGTGTCCTGCTCCGGCAGGGGGATTGGACTAGATGATCTTTCGAGGTCCCTTCCAATCTCTAACATTCTGTCATTCTGTGATTCTGTGATTCCTTTAAAGTGCACAATCTTAACTTAAACTGAAAAATAAAGTTTGTAGGTTCCCTTTTTCTGAAGACAAATTTGTGGGGGACTTAGTTGAAGCTATGATTTTTATGTGGTTATTTTTGTATTTTCTACCTACTAACGTTGCAGAACTGTAGTCTGGAAATAATCACGGTGAAATGCATGACTAAACTGAAAAATTCTAACTGAAACCAAGTGCAGTTTTTCTCTTTGGAGGAAAAATTAATCAGTGGAACACAGTGCTAGGGATTCTGGTATCTCTGTTACCTACAGCAGGGGGGAAATTGCATGGGTGTTAGATGGAGTGGTTGCAATGTTTTGTTATAGGATTAAAATCTGTAGCTTTTATCACAGGTATTCCCTTTCTTTCTTCCATAAGTCCTTTAACGTCTACTAGAAATTGAAAGGGTTGAAGGAGAGTATTTGGAAAAATCTTGTGGGTTTGAGTTTATTTTGTTAAGGCTAGGAAAAACAAATGAATTGGAACATTTGTTTTCATGAGTTTAATTAACTTAAAGTACATTTTAAGTTCAATTTAAAAGGCTGGTATGTCTTCCTTTGTATATTTTCTGCTCAAAGAATATACAGGATCACACTGATATTTAGTCAAGAGATTGAGACTTATGTGAAATTATCAGATAATTTATAAATGCTAGAGCTATTGATGGGGGGAAGTGGATGTATATTGCAATGTTTGGAGAGATTGATTGTATCAGTTACTGTATTTCTTTCTGTAGCTTTCTGTCTTTTGCTGTTGTACACGTATTACTTGTCAGTTTTGCCTGCCATTACATGTAAGGACAGAGCTATGTCACAATTCATTCCCATTCTTGAGGCAGCTAGAAGCAGAGCAGAATCATAGAAATCATAGAAACAGCAAGAAAGGTTTCTGAGCAGTCAGTCACCTGGTCCAGAAGGCAGAATCAGCTCTACCTGTGCAGATCCTGTGCATAGTGATTTCACACCTTCCCCAAGCATTATATTTCAGAGCTTCGTTTTAGTTTTTGGGTTTTGTCTAACCTAAATCAACCTTTATATTGCCTAATCCGTTACTCCATTATCTGTTTCTAATGGATAAGAGGAAGTTCTCCTTAGCTGTCCTTCTGTATTTGAAGGCAGCTACCGTATTTGTTCTGGCTTTCCTCTCCGCTAAACTAAATAATCGCTTTTTCTTTGAATCTTCTGCTCTTGGATCCTGTTCATCATTTTGCTCTGGAACCTTTCTAATTGGTACCCATCTTCTTTGAAATGCCAGGCTGGGTACTGTACTGCATCTGTATGCTATGCTGTAGAAACTGAAATAATGGCTTCATGTATCTCAGAGACAGTACTCCTTTCAGGGCTTCCTTTTGTTTCACCTCTCCCCCATTCCCCGACACTGTTGAGATATATTTATCATGAGATACACACTAACATCCAGATCTTTTTCTGTATTGCTTTTCTGTACTGCTGCCAATTTAGACAGTCTCATACCATGTCTGTGCACTTAATCGTTCCTTTGAAGTACAGAGTTTTTCATCTATTCTTGTTGAATTGCTTTCTCTGCCTGTCCTTCCTGAGCATGCCGTTCCTCCTTATGTTCATAATCTAGCCGTGTTTGTTATCAATAAACATGTAGTTTACTGAGCAGGTTAACTTACTGGTTTCCTATTTGTCCCTTCCGTGATTTTATGAATAACCTTTCTCTGCTTTTGGTTTTGAGGCAGTTATTCAAATTGTCAGTGGTTTTTGCCACTAGTTCCCATGGAATCTAGGAAGCTGTCACTGAAAATTCTGTATGAAGCAGATACAAAGGCTAATAAGTTCTGTACTATCAATACAGAAATGAGAGGAGCTTACATGTCCCTAGCATGTAATGTTGTCCCTGGGATTGGGAATGTTATCTCATTGCAGGCAATAGCGTTGCAACTTCATTGTATTCTCTTCCTTTTGTAATCGAAAAGGAGGATGTATGCATTCATTTTACATTATAAAATGCAAGTCAATGGAATATGACTGAGCTGACATGACAAGACATATCACAGCATCCAAGTACAGTCCTGAAAATGGAGAAAGACACCTCTTTCTAAGAAAAAGTGCATTTCAAAGGAACGTGGTTTCCAAGAAAGAAAAGCATTGTTGAAAATGTCTTCCACAGGTGCCCAGAATAGGAACTGGATCAAATTGCTTTAAAAATGTATCTTCACAATTTATAAAGTATTAATTACAAGAAACAGAAGTCTTAGGATGTAGATGAGATGAGACACTGATTTCATCTGTTGCTGCACTGTACCTGTACTGATTAAAAACCCACAAGATTTACAAAATTAAGCAGGACACTTGAAACTAGCACTTTGCTGCCTTTTTACAAGAAGTCTTCTGGTCTTTCAAAACTAAAGCTGATATACTGTTTACCTCAGATTAAATTTAAAATGTATCTGTTGAAACCAAGGGTGCTATCAGTCTCTGCATGCAATTCTAGAAGAGCTAATAATGTGTAGATCTTGAAACATGTCACTGACTATCCTGGCAAATTTCTTTGTCAAGTAGCAAAACAAAAGCCCCATTAATTTTATAAAGGCCTAGTAATAACAAGTTGAAATACACTTATGATGCATTGTTGTGTATTTACAAGTATGCTGGGCTTTCTTAGCCTTAGTGTTGTGTCAGGCTGTTGTGTCCAAGGCAAACCTCTTGCTCCTGTGGAAGGACACTGAAGGGGAACACATCCATTCACATCCAACTGTTCCAGCTTCCTAATCTGATTAACCCCTTCTGTTTGGGGGCAGCCTTTGGTCTAATTCCAGGAAGAAGCTCAGTTTGTACCTCTTAAAGACTAGTGAGACGTGATAAGTGCTAAGTTTAAAGTTATACAAGTCTAAATTGGGAGAGGAGCAGTGGGAGAGCAGCCCTGCAGAAGGGGATGTGGGGGTGCTAGTTGGCAGCAGGCTCAGCAGGAGTCAGCAACGTGTCCTGGCAGCCAGGAGGACAAACTGCATCCTGGGTGCATCAAACACAGTGTAAACAGCTAGTCAGAAGAGGTATTTATCCTGCTATATCCAGTGTTGGTGCAGCCTCACCTTGAGTACTGTGTGCAGTTCTGGGCTTCACAATTTAAGCAAGATGTGAAGGTCCTTGAGTGCATCCAGAGGAGGGCAACAAAGCTGGTGACAGGGCTGGAAGGCATGTCCTGTGAGGAGTGGATAAGGGCTTTGGGCTTGTCTGATTTGGAAAAAAAGAAGCTGAGAGGTGACCTCAGTTCTCTCTACAGCTTCCTGAGGTGAGGAAGTGAAGAGGGAGGTGTTGATCTCTTCTTCCTGGGATCCAGTGGTGGGATACATGGGAATGGTTCAAAGCTGTGCCAGAGGAGGTTTAGGCTGGACGCTAGGAAGCATTTCTTTACTGAGAGGATGGTCAGACAGTAGAACGGGCTTTCTAGAGAGGTGGTCGGTGCCCCAAGCCTGCTGGCGTTTAAGAGGCATTTGGACAGTGCCCTTAACAACATGCTTTAACTTTTGGTCAGCCCTGGATTGCTCAGGCAGTTGGACTAGATGATCGCTGTATGTCCTTTCCAAAGGAAATAGTCTGGTCTATTCTATAAGCCATCCTACTCTGTCATGAACTCTTCTAAGTGCAACCTTAGGCTTGGCGTGTGCAAGAAGTATCTGACACAATTTGTGTATGATATATACAGAAACTATGTACAGCATGCAGAAAAGGATTTGTGGCTGTCTGGTTGAAAACTTAAAGTAGCTCAGACTTACAGAGAATACCATTGTGTTGGAAGAAGGTAACAACCTCAGTATTTGTT